ATGGTGAGGTCATCGTATTCACAGCGCAGGTCACAGCATCAGCGAGGCGTGCGTCTCAGCAAGTGATATAGAGGGTGAGATGGGGACATGAATCGTGGGTGACTAGAAGCGATTGTGCAGCTGAAACGGAAAAATCGAGAAATTCACCAATCAAAAAACTTTCGCAAATCTGCTTCCTATGTGATGTGTTAGGAGGTGGCGGTTGCAATTAATGCAAAATAAGGAGGGGAACCCAACAACTGGGAGTGGGGGAGCGTCCTGTCGGTACCGTTACTATGCTTATCATTGAGCCTGTGTCCAGTATTGGTGTACCTGCATATCTAACAATCTTGCCGCAGCTGACACTTTTTGTCCCACCAATGGCCTCTTCTCATCTTCATTCATGTCCACTTTCACTCCTAAACTCCGCGCTTTGTTCAAAATCCGCGCCAGTTCATCCGATTTTTCGCTTTTACCACTCTTCTGGGCCCTATTGCCGATTTGTTTTACCGTTGTCCTTCTTAGAGGGCAGTCTTTACCTATGTGCCCGAATCGTGAACAGTTATAGCACCTCCTTCGCTCTTTACTTACTTCTCCATTATTATTTCTCCCTATATTTCCGCGATCCTCCAAGGTGCACGGCGTATCCCGCGCCGCTAAATCCACGACTTGTGCCTTTCCCGCTTCATCTCGATGTCGTGCCTCTCCCTGCACTCTTCTCTCAACTTCGCCATATGCAGCGCCCCTTTTCTTCCAGCTTTCCCTTTCGTATACTCGTCCACTCCGCGATTGCCACACCGATTTGGATTGCTCCATGCTAACTGCCAACTCCTTTACGGTGTCGTACGCCTCTCTGGGATCAACCTTGTGAAGAGCGCTCATCAAGTGAATGTACTCCGGCCAGTCCTTCAGATTGTCCAGCAACACCTGTGCGTACTCCATGGACCTATCCTTCACAGTGCACAACGGATTTGCCTGTCGCCCCGACTTTTCCAGCGCTACACAGAAATCCGACACACTCTGGTCCGGCCTCCGTCTGAGGGTCCTCAGTTCTGCTAAAGCTCGCAACCGACCAGCAGTAGAATCACTAGCTAACAGTCTTCTCAACTCCTCCACAACCTCATCAAATCCTCTCCTTTTAACTTCGCTGGGCAAACTCAAGAAGATACTTTTGGCCCTGCCCTCTAGGTGGTCATCACCTAAGATGTCAATTAGGGTTCGGTCATCGAATATTACCATCCTGTATTTCCTTTCAAAACGTCTAATGAATTCATCAAAATTTTCATATTGTTTCCCTTTAAATGACCCTGGGCCTCTACATGCATTGGCCTGTACTAGTGCCATAATCGTAATCTGAGTTCTGACCTTGATCCGCTACTGTACTCCTTCCAATGGTACCGAACGCAGTCTCCAGAGCGGTGCGCAGGGTGCTCCAGTCCTCGTGGCAGTTGGTCTCGATTCCCTTGTTTTCTGGATTTTCTGTTACCATCTCATAATCATACTGAATATTTCTTTTTCCCTTACCATTGGCCACGTCCGTTTCCATTTTCTCCTCTTCTGTGCTGGGCGCTCTTCTCGCCTGCGCTGCACTTCCCCCAGCACTGTGCGGACTTCCCTGATGTTTGTCTAAAACATATCACATATATCTGCTATCAACTCTGCATCTTTCTCAGTGATCATAAAATACTCTTTTAAATCACTCAACGTTTCAATACCCTTGTTCCGGAGGGTTCGTACCAGTTCTCGACCAAACTGCTTATACCCCCCCCCCTTACCTTCCTCCTCAGTTCTTCCAGCGCTTCACATGCTTTCACAACTTCCCTTCCAATAACATGGAATAACTTTTCTCTATACTTACTGGCTATTCTCGCCTCCTCAAGTTCCTCACTAACCCTACTAGGCAACTGTTCCATTACACGCACAGCTCTATCCACCTCATTGCTCATACTCACTACCGAAAGCTCTTCGATATCCTTACTAACCTGTGCCCTGGCTTGCTGCCCATCCTGTGGCACTTCACCAGCCGCTAATGCCTCTCTCGCAGGGCACAGCATTCGATGGGGATTTTGGTCGAGCCTCGGTACGACCCCCCCCTTTTTTTGCCGTTCGGTTTTTTTCGCCTTAAATGAAACTATGAAACGCCCACTATGAAATTCTACTTGTATGAAGGTGCCCATACTAAATGGACGACTTGAAGTCATGACATAATAGAACAATACAGAGATGATTGCAAACAAAAACGGTACAATCGTATTATGAGAAACTCGTATGATGAACTTCTTCGATGGCCGTTTTGAACACACATGGTAATAATAACGATATATCGCGATTAAATTCAATGAGCATTCGTTAACCTGAGGTGGACTCCCTCTCTGGGAGCGGCCATCAGCGACCACAGTGTTAACAACGTCTATTCCCAAGATTGAGGACGAGGAAAAGAGAAAGTTAGGCTTGTCTCACTACGTAACAGTTATACAAACCGCCGTAAAAATGCATTACCCCGATTATTGGAGTACGGTAG